AATAGATTAATTTACTCTAATTAATGCCTAAAAGAATTTCAATTTGAGAGTAGGCTGATGAATAATAATATCGAATCGGGTATACGCGTTGCCCACACTTGGTATTGTTGGCGCACAAAAATATAGTCAATAAGAAGGGAGAAAAAAGGTCTCATAGATTGATTTACTCTAATCCTGCCTAAAATAATTTCAAGTTCCGCGGCTATTGAGCATTCCTTCTTGTTTATCCTGGTCATCGCATGACTTTGACTCTAGAGGGTCGAAATGCATTTCAGGGCGTAAGTCTGCGATCTTCTGGGCATCGTTTTATTTGAGGTTTACTTGGTTCATAATTAACATGCACGAATTGACCCAGGAAATTTACAAACGTGTAAACTCCAATTTTTTTTTATTTAAAATCGAGTATTTGCTACGTATATATTTTTTTTTATGTTGAACAAAATCTTTTATGTGTAATTGAATTTCAAAAGGCTTTGTTACTTGGTAATGTACAGGCCACTCTTATCTATATTAGCTTAATTTAATTTAATTGTATTCGTCTTTACAAATCAGCATGTATGTGTGTGAATGGGTGATATACATATATACGTTATGATATTTTTCATAAAGGAAAATTAGAAATGTCTATTAGTTTCAAAATCATTCTCTGAGGTTTGGATAAAAGGTTGAATTGAAAAAAAATACAAAATTTGTCTTCTAATCTTGCTTTAAAATACGCAAAAACTACAACAACCGTTTATAATACTAAAATAAATGTCAATCAGTTTATTGATGCTCCGTAAAGATCACAAAAACTAAAACTAATATTAGTTTAAAACTTAAAAGAGGTGTTCGACGTTTCGTAACTAGTGACATTTTCCTCACCAGGAACAACGTTTGCGAAACGTCGAACACCCGTTTTACATTTTAAACCTATATCTCTTTTACTGGTCTTCGTGAATTTTAGTCTCTCGAGTTTTACTTATTTTTCAATTTTGTTCTTTATTTCCAGAAAATTTTTTTTCGAAGGAAATTATTTCTGAAGAAAATGATAATATTATCAAATGCTTGAAACCGGAACTTATTCAATCGAAACACCGAAGCCATTCAGGTTCGTGTTTCTAAAATAATCATGAAAGAGTCATTTTTGAAATAACATTGGTTTCAGCCATAATCTAAGATTTGTTTTAACGTTAATTAAAGAGCGGGAAGATCTTCCTTCAAACAGATTAATTTACGTTATTTTTGTAATAAGCAACAATAATGTCCATAATAATATATGATTTACCGGCAAATAAAGTATTACTACGAACTTTAAAAAGTTGGACATGGGGGATGAGGTTAATGGTCAAAGAATGAAATTGTTGTGATACCGCTTTTATGACTAGCCTTACTCGATAGATATTTTTTGAAAGAATGAAAAAAATAAAGATAAATACTGAATGAAAAAATAAAGATAAATACTGAATGAAAAAATAAAGATAAATACTGAATGAAAAAAATGAATACTGCAAGTCCATGTTTATAAAAAAAGAACACAGCACTTAGCGTTCTTTATAGACTTTTATAATAGGATATGTCATCAATGTTCCGTCTAGGTTCTAAAGAAAAATCCTTGACAAAGAAATTAAAGAACATTGAATTTGAAGAAGGATTCCGTAAAGAAGCGAAAAGAGTGTGTGCCAAAGCTAAAAAGAAACTCAGGAAACGACTGTTAGCAAGACTTTATGAAGACCGAAGAGAATCAGAATCAGAAAAAGAAACTGAAAAGCTGTCGAATAAAGAAGCAGAAAAGAAAATACAGCATTCAAATCAAGCCATTTCTCAGTTAAGCCTAATATGGCGGCAGCGTCGATTGTTGAACAGCTGTCAGACAGTGAAAAGACGTCGGCTGAAATCAGGCTTAGATATGATTGCTAAGCCTAATCGCAAAAAGAAGTCAAAAACGCTAACTTTGCAAAAACTTTTGGAGAAGGAACTTCTGAAGGAACAAGACGTATCAATTCCTTTAGAAGGCGCTTTTGAAGTAATTGAGGGAAAAGTGAGTTTCCATTAGCTGAAAAATTTGTACCAATAAGATAATAGAATAAACTAGATCATAAAGTAGTTAAAGACTGATTTTGATAGTTCTGAGGTGATTGAGTAGTTTTACTTAGTTAAACCTAAAAATGATTACTTACTATTTATACGAGGAAGCAGTTTCGAAATATTTTGTATAAGTTATACATTTTATAAGTAAAGAAATTTATAAAGCTTGTTTTGTTTTTAATAATACTTGTATTTTATGAAACAAATATGCTGGGTTACAATGAGCTGACTAAGTTTGTTTTGTCGACTTACAAGGAGCTGATGAAGTCTGCTGTGCCTGTACCTAAATGAAAGTTATCTATTTTGTCCCCCCCCCCCACCAGTGGCACAGCTGTATGTCTGCGGACTTACAATGCTAGAAACCGGGTTTCGATACCCGTGGTGGGCAGAGTACAGACAGCCCATAGTGTAGCTTTGTGCTTAACTTCAAACAAACAAATCTATTTTGTGTGAATAATATTCTCTGCTAATTTGTAATTATCATCCGTTAACGTATTCTTGAAATGCCATATCTTGCTAAATAATATAGCTATTCAAAGATGAATTGTGTATTTTTTGAGAACGGAGAAAAGCAAAACTGAATATTTAATAGAGTACAGAGTAGACCCTGTGTCCACCTTTTGTTTGTTTGTTTATTTTGGTGCCCATCGTTAGGTGAATATATCGATTCAAATGTTGATAAATCTCTGAAATTATAAAATGTGAGCTGTATTTTCTTCATGTAGTGAGAGAACTCCAGGTAGGGTCAATTTATCTTTAAGGACCCATTGAGACGTCTGCTATCACGTGGTCACGCGACGTCGTGTCACTCACGAAGCGCGCTAAGGACACAAGACAAGTTCCTTTATTATATATGGTGGAGCTGTTGTATGTCTAATCTGATATAGAAAAGCTCCCTGGAAGACCAATCTCGCCGTAGGCTCACTAATCTTGTTAAATCGAGAGCTCAGCTAAGCGTATACAGAAGAAACTGGCGTTATGTTCTTCAGGCAGACCTTACTTCCTTCAACCAGTAGCGCACGAATTTCGCGGAGACAAAAAGATCTATACAAAATAAAGAATACGTATATTACAATAAATCATTTCAACTAGCACTGAGGCACCTGCGACCCAGAGTATAAGGCATCGACAGAAAGTTGTGCACTAAATATCAGTACATTGATAAAACAAACTGGTATAAAGAATTCGATTTTCAATGTAAATTGTACAATATAGTAGTTAATTCAGTAAAATCAAACTCACTTGAGCTGGTAGTTGCAGATACTGTTTGTCACGAACGTTTGTTTGAGTGTAGGACTGGTTTCCACTCAGCCAGAAAAAAAAAACTGTAGATTCTTATGAAGTTAGTAAAAAGTAAAGGCAGTAAAGTCTGACGTTAATATTCAACCATACAGGGTTGTAGGTGTTTGTTAACAAAGAAATTTCGCAGAGCACTAATGTAATTATCAACACGACCCACATGTTAAGTATGTAAGTAAGAAACAAGGAGGAGAGAAATAAACCGTAATAATAAAAATGACTATGAGTATTAATAGAATACTTTCACGTAGAAATTTTTGCAGCATATATGAGATACGTTTCCGTTTTTATGGTCTTGAAAAAACGAATACATTTTCTAACTACCACTCTTTGCAGCAGCTGCCGTTTGACTTTACCAGGGGGGCACCCCCGGAGATGAAACGGATCATGGTAAACAAGGCCTTAGGCGAAACCATTCTTCATCGTGCCGCCAGGATGGGGTACAAAGTAAGTACACAAATCAAAGCTGCCCGAACACTACCGTTGCGCTTCCACATAGATCGTAACAGTCTTTTTTCTTTTGTTCATGTTTCCAGAGGGCACTTAGTACTAAAACGGAACGGGACCGCCTGTGTTTAGTAAAACTAGTCGTTTTACAGGTTACCCGTATACACCAAGCTGTTAAAATCACTAGCCAATATAATTTACAGTTTTTGTAGGAATTAGACGTGTGTGTGTGTGTGTGCTGCTGAAAAACCATATCCTTGTTATTTATTATACACTGACCTTTACATTATGCTTTAAAAATAAATATATAATTGGAGCAATATTTTGGTACCCTAAAATACGCGTAGAGTAAGTAGCTAATTTCTGAAAGCCTCTCTCTGCTAATAGGACTAGGTTTGGCCAGTGTTTTATTGTTATGTGGATGTACAAGAGAAAATGTGTGTGGAAACGTAAATATACAAGTAATTCATTAAATTATTGTTTCTCTTCAAGTAACATTTACGCTTCATCTATGTGTTACAGTTAATTTATGTTTTTATTTAAGTATTATTTCTAAGCAGGATCGTTAAAACAAAGCAATGTGATTCGTATTTTCCAAAATTTTAAACTGTTTTATCGTGTAGTTGGTTTGAAATATTCTCTTTTTCCTTATAATGATCTTTAGCTTATACAAATTCCCTCTGTTTCTGTAGGAAGTGGTTTTGTATTGCCTAGAAACTAATTACTGTGACGTCAATTCTCGAGACAACGCCAGTTATACTCCTCTGCATGAATCATGTTCGCGAGGAAATCTCGAGATAGCAAGCGCCCTCGTACAATATGGTGGTGACGTTAATGCGAGTGCAGCAGGGGGAATTAGGTTTGATATTTAATATTTTCATTTTTAATACTAAATTGTTAAAAAATTATTTTAAAACTTAAACTACTTAATAAATAAGTTATTGAAACATGTATATAACCACTAACAATACAAGCCGGATTCCTAAATTTCTTAATAGTTTGTGTTGGCTGTAGATAATGTATTAATTAATATCTAGAGTGGCTTTTCTCGTCAAAAGTGTTCATTCTATTTTTTAAGCTGACTGTTTAGGACTGTATATCTTAAGCTTACATAAGACTGGTAGAATATAATGGAAACACAAGAAGATAAAATTTAAAAGAGCGTGTGATAGGAAATGGCATAGAATGAACGCATGACACGGAGAGATATCGAAACTACTTGTAATTAGGAACATACTTTTGATTGGATATAATTATGACACAAACGTTGCCCTTACTTTCACACCTTCAAACAGTTGAAACATTATCAAATATTCCAATAGTCTTATACAAATCATTGGAAATTGTATGCATATCGTCATGTTTATTTGTAACAACCCAGATTTAGAATGGTAATGAAAGGCAACACCCGAAAAGAATTTAGTACTTAATAAGATATATTCATGAATAATATATTACCGTGCGATATAATCAATGTTATCACTGAAATAGACGCCAGGTTGCTAAACTACTCTATGATATTTCGTTCCTGCTTATAACATACCATGCTTGGATTGATTATCCAAGTCATATGTTGAACCACTTTCAAGTATTTTTTCCTCCTCCTTTCTAGACCTCTGCACGACGCCGTGGAAAACGACCACGTTGAAATTGTTCGCCTGTTGCTCTCTTATGGCGCTGATCCTACCATTGCTACATACTCTGGTCTTACTCCTCTCAAGTTGGCGAAGTCCTCCATCATGGCCGAGTTTCTACGTGGTAAGAAAGTGACTCCATACGAAGTTTGCATCAACAGAGACGACTTGCCAAACTGAGAAAAATGTTTTAACTTCTTGGAATACATAGCTATTGATTCAAATAATGCCTATATAAGCCTTACACTCCTTTAAAATGATATCCAAAATGTTATGAACTATTTAAAGTTCTCTCTAGTACCAACACCACATAAGACCTTTAGATTCTTAGATTGTTATACCGTAATAGATTCTTAGAAAGGCAAATGTACATATCTTTTGTCTGGTGACACGTACCAACAGAGCACAGTATTCCTATATAGTAAAAAAATATATTATACCGGTTTAAACAGTACCTTGTTTCAAGTATTTTGAATGAATGCTGTTATTACCTACGCCATATGTTTGACAAGTTTATATCTATATATATATAGTGGGGGGGGGGTAGAATAAGGTCAATTTTACTGCTATCGACACATCTTTTGTTTTTAATTTTGATATATATATATATTTAAATTATTTCTATCGGATGAAAATAAATTTGCTTTTACGAAACCAGTAGGAATAGGTGTGGTAATATTGATGAAGAATTGTTAATCCCGGGTAGTTATACAAAACCAGTAGGAATAGGTGTGGTAATGTTGATGAAGAATTGTTAATCCCGGGTAGTTACTAATTATCTTCAAGTTGACAAGAACGAATTGAATTGTATAAGTGACTAATTAAAGAGAATAAACCAGATGTATAAAACAAAACACATAAATCTTTATTATTTAAAACTGTATAGTATTGGGATCACAATAAGAACATTACAGTAAATTAAAATAATTGATAGAAAATGGAAGGTTGAATTAAAATAAAACAGAACTGAAAATATTAGTTTTGAAAATATGCATACGTTAAATACGATAGCAAGAAGTCCCTCATTAGTGGGATATAAAGGTGTGACTCTTCACACCAATGAAAATATATTCGGGGTACACCATTCAAGAGACAGAATTCTATGGTATTACCAATCTATGTCAAAGAAGTGGCCAGCTACCCATTGACCCTCTTGGGAGCCCGCACAAAAAAACAACAACAACAACAACAACATGCTGTCCTATATAACCAACTGGGGGGAGGGGTGAACAAAGTTTTTAATTTTTTTTTTTTTTACACAGTAAAATTGTACAAAACGTTCAGAGTTAGACATGTTAATAACAGGCTTCGGTTCCCGCCACATATTCAGGAACTAAGAAAGAATGTATATATTTGTGTATTTTATAAGTTAATGATAAAGTTATAGTTTTAAATTATCTCAAAGAGATAATCGTTGTTGTATTTTCTAAAGTTTTCTCACAGATTAGGGACAACGTGTATTACTATGTCCTTAAGAAGCTAATCATGACGTATATAACTCGTGTTATAGGTTTTTTTGCCGACACAGTCGGGGAAACAACCATGAATGTGATTCTTCCCTGGAAGTTCCCCGGTTCTGCTTGTTGTCTAGGTAAGCTTTCTTGACTAATGAATTTGGATGTACTTCCATTAGTAAAGTCAATGATTTAAATAGTTTATAGATAAATAGGTAGATGTGCAAAAGTTTTCCCTAGATGAACGTTTATGCCCTTGAACTTAGAAATACTTCCATGAATTCATGAATTCATTGACAAACTATGTAATTTCTCATGAACCAGCTTCAACCACGGCTGAAAATTACAAATAAAATGCTTGCGATTGATGCTGTTGACCTTTTTCTGGTAGTTCATCACTGTTCTAGTCTTCGCTGTGAAACTCGTACTAGTTGTTATGTCATTGAAAGACGCTCTACGATATATAGTTGCACGTAAGATTAATTACTTCATGTTTTTTATACAATTCAATATATGTTGCTAAATATGTATTTTCCTGTTTAAAGTATATTGTACTTAATATATGTAATTTTTAAAAAAGTGTATTGGAAAAATATATGTTGTTGCTTCTAGCATTTTGTAGCTACAGAACGTCTATAAATTCAGCACAAATTAATTGTTAATTCTCTGTTATTGTGTGGGGAAATGAGCAATTTGACGAAGCAGTGGGGATTTTTAGGCCTAACAAACTTGATTGAAATTACGCTTGACTGCAGATATTCCCCCCCCCCCTCGCATTCCTCTTAATTAGACTGTTTCGGATTTCAATCAAAGTGTCATATTAGGTTCCTTTCTTCTTTAAGTCATTGCCCTGGAGAATTAATGCCCTAACTCATAAGCTAGGATGGACCTGTGGTAGCAAAAGGTATATCTGAAATTGTATTTGTATGTAGTGCAAGAAAAGTAACGTTGTGATGTAAAACGTCTAAACAAGCAAAGAACTGAGACTTTTTTTTAAGCCTAATATAAAGTATTAAAATTACACTTCACTGGAAATGAGATTTTTCCTCGCACTCCTTTTACATAAACAGTTCACTATGGTATATGAATCGGAGGTTTGTGTAAAAATAACAAGTTTTATCATATCTCTCTTGTCTGCTACAAGTCACTGCCCAGGAGGCCTTTCGCGTAATATCAGATCTCATCAGTTGCGGTTAACGTACGCCATCGAATACTATTTCCTTGAAGTAAAACAAACGTAACGCAGTGGTGTACAACACATAAACCTGCAAGGCAATTAGATTATATGATATAGGCCTAACAGAAGTTATGAAAACCACGTTTGTACATTCAACATAATAAATCAATTAAAGAATATCAGTTTCGTTAATATTAATTATGTCTCTAAATATTTAACAATTTACCTGATCTTTGTACGCGACAACGCAGGATGTATATACACATCAGTAACTTAAAAAATATCGATTAAAACTGCCCCTAAAATTCCTGAAGAAGGTAGGGAGTTCCTATTATTTCTAAGTTTGACAACTGCTTATATTGAGTAATAAATGTATATAATGTTTACAATGTATTTGGTCTATTAACCGCTTATGAAATACACGTCTAACGACATCTAAACAATTACCTCGTCTTAGTAGTTATCTTGTTATAATCAAACGTTTGTCTCCTCATTAATGAATATAATATTTACACGTTTCAAAATATGCAATAATTTAACATTACATAAAGCGCTGTTGTTGTCGATTTTTTATACGTACATGTATGACATACTTGAGTAATTATGAAAATAGAACAGGCGTTGTGCAGTTTACTCAGGATATATCTTCATTTAATAGTGTTGTGACTAATGGTCCTTTAACTTTTCAGATGCAGAGGAGACAGGTTATGATGTTTGGGACGGACTCCCTTTGGACTTGGAAGACGAGAACGAGGACAAAGACGACTTCCTGTTCGAGGTGAGCGACACTCCTCACCTCCCGACTTTTCGCCTGCAGTTGCCTGGCAACAACAGCAAGGCGTAAGTACGCCAAAATGCTTTTGCTGCTGCTGATCATTCGTGAAGCCCTTAGAAGTAAACCAGCTAGTTTTACTACAATATAACCTTGCTACCTGCGTTTACGAAACCTACTTTGTGCTGAAACTGTACTAGTATAATGTGTGTAAATGTCAAGCATCTTTGTGATACGCTTAGAGAATTTAAAATTCGTTGAAGGAACGTACTGACCATCAGTGTTAACACACCAGTGTACTTAATGCGTAACTGATTTGTATTTGATTTGAACCACGAAACTAATCAAGGTGTAGTTGGTTATGTAGTTTTTGTTTCTATTTCCTATTAGCCCCATACGTGAAATTAAATATCTATAAAACTTATTTTCTCAGCTAATATATAATAAAAAAAAATTACCTCTACACAATCGCCGTAATGAAATTATCGTCATTTTCCAGTGGCAAGTTTCAATAGAAAGATTAAGGGCAGTATGAACTGAATATTCGAAATAGGTTTAAGTAATAGTACAATGTAGATATACAAACAAGTGTATATGGATTGTTTTCTTCTTTTTTTTACAGAATGTGTAACTGTCTTCGACTTATCGATGTCCTAAATAACACTGGTCTGACCAAAGAGAGGTTTCTCTCAATGTACAGTTACGCTGAAATATTTCCCATCCCCAAGCACGAAATTGAAACAAGCGCAACCTGTAGTCAACTTCTGACAGGTACAAGATTGGACAGTCTTTTATCAGATGCAACCAGTGATGGAAGCACAACTATTGACGTGGTACGACTGGACGACAACATTAGAGACATTTTGGGCATCGAAACTGTAACGCTAAGATAATTGAGTAATTTAATCGTGATATTTAATATGTGACGAATTAAGTTATGTGCGGAATCACAGGACGCCCATATTGTAGAAATTATCTACATGAAAACTTTAAATTAGGTTCATATCGGTTAGCCATTGTTAAGCAAGGCGTATGTAAATCTAACAAAGATGTTATTTATGTGATTTCCTTTTACGAATGATTTGACACGTTCGAAACATTCAGTGATAAAATTAAGAGGATCGTAAAATGAGAAGGCGCCGTCTATAACCTGAGATTAATAATAATGTTTTTATTACTTTCAGTCGTATTTGTAAGGTGGAAAAAAACAACAACTGATGAAATGAGGAAGAACGTAACACCATATTTGTTGTGTTTTGTTAATATATTGTGTAAATGTTGTTTATCAGAGAAAAAAAATTAGTAAAAAAAGGAACAAATATTGTCAGCTATTGTGAAGTTTGACGTTTATATGTGCTGCATCCTCGTGCTGTAAATATGTAGATAACATGATGAACGTGTGGTGACGTAACAGTGCCTATTTCATCCTTCAGCCTGATCTGGTCATCATTCTTAAAAAAATAAATAAATTAAAAGTCTTTTATTAGAAACTGTTATATCTGTTTCAATTTTAGTTCCTCTTAATTAATATAATTTTCTCTATAAAATATATTCCTTTTCAAACAAGATGCTCTCTTTAGTTCCATTTGTAGAATTTGATAGTAACAAGTAAATCTTTCATTAACTATGAGCAACTAGTTGTTACCTTACAGTCCCAACTTTGAATAAACAAAAGTAAGACGTTTCTGGGATAACCGATCTTACTCGAATGTTTGGTTTTAGGTTACATGATAATAATAAGGTATGTTCACTAATTGCAGAGTCAATTGTAGAAAAAAACAAGTAATATTTGCTAAACATTTTTATTAAAGCACTAAACATCTGTTACTTAGTCAGAAGAATGCATGCGTAGACGTCTAGCACCTAGGCCACTACGACATCTGATGAGCCCTGTATTGGGTGGCAGGTTTCGTCGGCACTGGACATGGTAGATGTAGTGTTGTTAAAACAAAATATTCGTTTTCTTTTTTGCTTTCACTCGTAAGTTCTTAGAATTATTAATGTAATTTTCTACCGTTGTCGCTGTGGTTGCTTGACACACTACCGGAACAAGTTTATTATAAATATTACTGTTTTCCTGATTATAACAACTTTATTTAAGTTTTTATGCTTCTTCTGATGAAACATTATATTCCGCTAAGCCTCTTTGTCCTTATTTTGACTCCAGTCAGTCTCAAAATTTATCAGTAATCTTGCCAAATTTAGGACTTTACCTGTTACTGTAAATACACATTCTTGTTGGGTTGTTTTCGTGTTTAAATACTTGCAATCCTCAGACGCGTTTCTATCAACTACGTTAAGATTATATATGGTATTGGTAACTTCATTGTTGAAGAGCAGATACTGTTCCTTCCGGTCAGGGTATTACTTCTGTTTAGGATTAGTACAATAGATGGCACACAAACATGATAATTTTAAATGTCTGCATAAATTCTTATTGATTATTTCAAGCAGAACAATTATACACTTTGTTTGTTTGATCATTAAACACAATGAGCTATCTGTATTGTACCAACTGCAGGGATTGAACCATTATTTTTAAAGTTATAAGCTCTCAAGCTTACTGCTGAGTCAAAATGGAGGGGGATTATAAATTTTAAATACATTCAGTAGAGAAAACTATATAAAATATTAATAATTTTATATAGTTTTGTTATCTGGAAGTTAAAGTAGTGATTTGCTAATCATGTCAAAATATGAGTTAACCTCTTTACAATATCACTTTTGTTCCTATTGATAGTGCTTCTTAATTCAGGGGATTCGCTGTTGATAGTTAATATTAACTTCCAAACTTAATTCAGGGGATT